GTTGGTAATTATCATGGTCCTGCAGTTTCTCTGGAATGCCGTGGAGGGTCAAATGCCAGTGGAACCCTGCTTTATAGGGTAATTAAGACAGTCGACATGGTTATTAAATACATCATGCTAAACTAAACTGGAATGCTGTGAAATAAAATCCAAAATCATAAATAAAATGCAGGCATTCCAGCAAGGGGCTATGTGTGAAAAGTTGGGGCTTTGTGCCCTCAGAATTGCGATAAATAGCCCTTGCCCACTCTAACTCCCCAAAACCTGGCTGCCGCAAGCCTCTGAGTTTGCCTCTTAGAGAGTGAAACGGAAATAAAAGCTGCTCCTCCACATGCTCTGGAACTTCTAATCCCCACTAGTTCATATTACATAAAACAATGTAAAAATACTCTGAATGTCTCTGTGAAGATCCAGTGCTGGCAAATGTATGATAAATTAAGTTGCCCAAGTGTGAAGTTGGTAGGACTAGCAAATGAGTTTTAGGTAATTTGTTGTTGTTGTTTTTCATTTTAAAATATATTGTTTTATTATTGACAGTATTACAGATATCTCTCATTTTCCCCTTTCTCCCCCTCCTCTTAGCCCCTAACCCCTTCTCTCCCCCACGCCTCCCGCCCCAGGTCTTCACTACCCTATTGCCTTTGTCTGTGGGCTATGCATATAAATATATACGTTCTTTGGTTTATCTCTTCTCGTCCCCGCAACCCCACATCCAGGCATGTCGGTCACATTGAACCTGATTTTTTAAAATTTTCTGGCTCCAAGCGCCGAGGCAAATGGCGGTCAGGGAGCCTCTCGGACGGAAGCAGGCTCCTTCATTTGGGTCATTTTAAATGAGATGCTGTTTTTAGGTTACAGCCCTAAAAAAAAGTCCTTCTGCTTACGCGGCTGCTTTTGTCTCTCCCGCAGGTCAGCGGGAGCAGCGTCATCCTGAAGACGGGGTTTGATTTCCTGGACAACTGGTAAAACGAGTCAGACACACGCACACCAACCCCACAGAGAAACCAAGACCCCGACGATTCCCGCCGAGGCGCGGCCGGCGGGGGCGGGCAGAAAGGGCAGCCTCTCCCTGGGCCGTTTCCCGGTCTCTGTACTCGGTTATTTTTTTTTTTTGAATCTTTTGGAAACTGTAAGAATCGCCGTGTCCAGATTTCCAGAGCTCCCCCCTTTTTGCTAAGACCCGATGTATCTGCCGTTTTCCACGATTTGATAACCGAAGTTTTTGCATTTGGAATTTTTAAAGACCGTGGCAGAAAGGGCAGCCTCTCCCTGGGCCGTTTCCCGGTCTCTGTACTCGGTTATTTTTTTTTTTTGAATCTTTTGGAAACTGTAAGAATCGCCGTGTCCAGATTTCCAGAGCTCCCCCCTTTTTGCTAAGACCCGATGTATCTGCCGTTTTCCACGATTTGATAACCGAAGTTTTTGCATTTGGAATTTTTAAAGACCGTTAGGCATTCCTGCTGTGCACCAGTTCCCCCTCCTCCGGCAAAGGGCTCTCTCTCCACCGGTCACACAAGTGACAAGCGTGGCCTCCATCTCCTTCTCCTTCGTCCCCCATCCCCCCCTTTTTTCTCCGTGGGGGTTTCCTTGGACGGATTACCTTGGATGGGTGGTCGCTGGTGATGCCCTCAGCAGTGTGGCAGCAGTGCTCCGGCTGCGATGGTGGACAGATCTGTTCCCCACGTGGCCCCCTCCCACCCTCACCCCCAATCCCAGCCGCCCAGGACGCCCCTGGCCGACCCCACCCTTCGCCCCTGCGTCATGTCCAGGAAACAGACATGACGCTTGGCGGGGGCGTCTTTGGGCCGCCCTGGTCCCCGGGCATCCTTGCGTCGGTCAGCGTTGCACGTCTAAACGTTTTGTGTTAACGTCTCATTCTTTCCTATCGAGACCCAGCGGCGGTAGGGCTACCCCTCCGCTTGCCTTTGTACTGTTTTCCTCCTGGAAGTTCTTCGCTGCTGATGTGGCCCGTGGGTGTCCCCACCCGCCCCCCCTCTCCACGCCGAGGGAGGGTGGGTGGCAGGGTCACCCGAGGACAGGGCTCTTCTGATTGGTT